AAAAACTTGAAGAACGTTCAAAAAGGTTATAATCTTATTAACAAATTTGCAGTATTTTGAAAATTGATAAATTTTAGATTATCATATGTTGATAACATTAATTTTTTTAATTTCATAAATGAAATTAATTGATATATAGATATAAAGTAAACATTTTAAACAGTATACAAAAATTGTAGAATGTTGTGATTAAATGATTCATTACAATATTTACTAAATTTTATTTAAATTAATATATACATATGTATATAATTTGCAATATTTGACTGTAGAATTAAAAAACTAGACAATATTTAATGCATTCGTGTAAAATATAATTAAATTATGAATATAAAAGTTAAATAATATTGATCAAATTAGATTGAAATTATGAAGATACAAGCAAATGAGTATAGTTGGTATTGTTTTGGCTAAGTTTAAGATATGTTATTTCTCTACCACACGAAAAATTATTAAAGAGAAGCCCATCTTACATAAGTATTATCTTTCGACTGTGTAGCCGTATTGGTCAACATCAACAGTATAAATAATGATTTTAAGATCTATTATTATTATTAAAACGGTGAAAATTAGAACATTGTAGAACATTTTGTATAAAATGTAGAACATTTTTTTAACATTAATTTTGCAGAGTAAAAAATTGCTTTTAATCTCTACAGATGATTTATTTGTTAAAATTGTGATCACTAACTGCAAAAAAAAATTAATTAATTTAAAGTAAAATAAAATATTAACGTATAAAGACTCATAACTTGCATAGACTTGTGTTTCATTCACCACAAGCTTAATTAAATCTTTTCAAATCCTGTCATTCTCCAGATGAATGTAGCAAATAACTAACAAAAAAAAAAAAAAACCATTTGTTATATACTTATAACTACATGTATGTTGTAAGCATAATACTTTCAATCACATGATTATTTGTATACAAATATTGATTTAAGAACACTAATATTTATGTCATTCTTTCAGAACAAAAATAAGAACAAATATTCCATCCCGTAAATTACTGGAAATTAGGCTGTGTTGATTTGTATGAATTTTTTATATATATTAGCAGATCAAGAAATTATATTCAAGTAACAAAATTGATTGAATTTATAAAATTATTCATACATTTTCGAATTCTTCTTTTCAGTTCATTGATACACTAAAACATGGATTTCAAAACACACTATACTTTGCTTAAGCTTGTAATTATTGAATACTAATTCAAATTTATAAAAAAATGTAAAAATTAACACACACTTTATTTGAAATATACTTCAAAATGAACGTAATATTTTCATACATTAATTCATTTGATTGATTTTATGATTTTTTTATTAAATATTTTAATTATATGATTAAATGAAAAAACGTATAAATATGATTTCAATGCAAAACTCACAACTCATAACCTTTACATATATTGTTGGAGCCATATTACTGAAAATAACGTTTTTGGTATTTAGATTTTATGTTTGGCACAAAACTTACAAATATATATTTTTTATGATAAATATTTGAACTTGTAATATTTTAATCGAAAATGAACAAGAGCCTTTATTTCTAAAATTTTGTCTTGCTTGAACTTTATTTTGGTTACATACGTTGAATTGAACACTTTCTTTCAAACTAGTTTGTAATATAAAACATTAGAAGCTTCATGGAGGTTATCACTTTAAATTATTTGCTGCAATTGAAATACTTTGATGCACAAGAATAATTGTAATCATGATTTTTGGGTCTCAGATGATATGTGTATGAATAATCTATTGAGTTTTTTGGATTTTTTTGCAAAAATAAGATCTAGCCATACTTTTCAAACAAAACATGGTTCACAACTATTTTTTATAATTTAAAATAAGTTTGTGGACAAAAATTGGGGTTCAAACTACTTATTCATGCCTATCTTCGAAATAATCCTTGAATCAATTAAAAAAGAAAATTAACATCCAACATTGTCCGTAGTGACGTGTATTTATTTAAGTATCTTGTACAATAAGTACACAAAAATATCACATTTTAATAAAAAAGAAGATGTTCATGTTCACTTACTTCAGTGGTATTTATGCTCTACAATTTGCATAGCTAGACAATAAATCAAATGGTTTGAAATAATGTTTTTCATCATCTATTTCACTATCAAGCTAAAATTCTACATGAAAACGGTGATGTGTTTTGTTGATGAGTAATTGTGAGAGCTTCAAGTATGTAATATATTTAATGCAGTTTGTAAGAAAAATATGTATGATTTTATCACGTTTAGATTATATTATTGTTGACTCTCAAAGAATATGTTCAAGTTAAAAATTTGTAACATACATATTATTTAAAAGTTTTCTTTGAACATAAAAATGAAACTATTTTGTTGACAAAAGCTACATTATAAGTTATGATTGAACTTAAATGACAACAAGTACAACTAAAAAATTGTTAGACATGTCATCATTACCCGAATGGACTTATTTTGAAAAAATTACAAGTTATTTTTTAAATTTATATGATTTGCACTACATTATGAGTTTATTATCTTACATAAAAGTTGTGTTATTATTTATTTAAGTCACGGTATGCAAAACAAAGAGAAAAGTGATAGAAAACTCGTAAAAAACTGATTTATTTTCAATAATTTTTACATTATATTTGTTATTTATATATTTTTACAAACTTAGAAAAAACAATATTGGAATTTGAACAAATTATGGATGCAATCTGAAAAAATTGTTCAGTTTTTAAGTGATATGATGTTTATTAAACATTACACTGAGCTCACAAATATCTTAAAGTATGTAATAAAACTTTCGTCTTACATATCTTGTGACATATTGTTAAGATAATTACCTCAAGACATAAGCATTTTAAAATGAGATGAATGAACAACTAGTCAAATCACCTGTTCTAAACAAACATCATTGCAATACTCTTTGATTTTAGTTTTTGTGTGTAGTGAGTTGATTTATAAAAGAAGAAGAAGAAGAAAAAACATAGACAAATTAATTGTAATTTTTCATATAGCATATAAAATATTATAACAAAATTTGAAAAACATGATATACTATACATCAACTTATTATTTTCAATTTACAAAAGGGATTATTATAAACACTTTTAAGTTGTTAAATTCATTTAGTCAGGGCAATTGTCATGGCAACAAAACATGTTAGGATTGATGTGATATTCTCTTTGCGTCGAGTATCGATTTCAGTATCTCTTTCTTATTTTACTCTCTGTGCACAAGTTGATATGCATGATGATACTTCATCCACATATGAAGCTAGCTCAACCAATATATCATATTCCAAATACTTTCTCTTCTAGCACTAGATAGATTAAATTCTTGAAAAACACTATATGCTACACATGTAAAGTCATTTGCAATTTTTTTGTTGTGCTTTTAGCCTATGGTTCTTATTTAGTCATTAACGTTAACAAAGTTGTTGCTTTCGTTGCCAATAAAATCGGATGTGTATACAATTGCTTCGTTTTCATTGCGGTTTTGGATAACAATCAGAATCACTAAAAAAATCCACAAAGTATCCAACCAGTTCATGTCAATAATCGTATTGTGAACAAAAATTGAAAACATGTCAACAACCTCAAAGGAATGAATATAACAAGTCAAGGGGGGGTTTTTGATTTATTTTATAAAATGTGAATTGTTGTTTGTATACATTTTATTTAGATATTTTTGAAATGTTACTTGTTATGTGAGAATATTACTCCATCGTAACACAAATAGTTTGATGAGACTTATAGCATGTATTTTACTGTTGAAATTTCACCTATAATGACATACATAATCTATAATCTACTATAGATCGACAGTGTAGAAGGTGGAATGAGCAATAGCAGAGTGGAGTCAGCCGATGGAATAAACATATTTTTGAGTGCGATGAAAGTTTGCATGAATTGTTACATTTAGAGACGTTTTGTGCACAAATATGGGTTTAACTGCCTCAACAAGTGTTTTGTTCACTCACCAAATACTATGTAGCATTGAACCTACAACACTCAAAGCTTGCTTCGTTAAGTCTTAAATTCAGGGGAGTGAACACTATCTACTCTTGCCCGAGATTTTGACGTTGCAAAATCCTTGAAACGACCTGATTTGTTCCTCTACTTACAAATCTATTTCCAAAATTGTGCACATTGCTAGATCAGCGCGCTTACCGTCATTACCAAACTACTCCTAATCTAGAATATGTTTCTTCTATCCTTCGACTCCCCTCGTCCTCTTGCTCGTTACTCCTCCAACACCTTCGGTCCATAGTAGAACATTGGTGACATGTGAGTATGTCTTGGATCCTAGTAACCTAGGATGTGTTAAGATGGGATACTATCAAGTAAATGTATCCTTGTTATGTAACAAGTTTTACATTGAAATTATTAGATCAAGCTGTGAGTAGAATATTTCTTGTAACACTTGGATATCTCTTGGCAAAGAAAGGATCGGATTTAGCTCCAACCTTATTTAGTCGAGAAGGAGATAGCTGCAATTTTACCGGGAATTGATGGCTCTCAATACCCGGCAATATTGTAGACAATACGTCAGAATACGAAGTTACTGATATTAGAAGTAACTTTCGTTCACTCTCCTCTTCCAACGCTCTTCCTTGCAAAACGGATACGACAAACCTCAAAGCCCCGAGACTCGAATATCATTTTATCATTAAGGATATAAAATAGTGGATGAAAAGTCGACTGTGCTTGTTTGTATCAAGGTACGATAGTACGAATTATGAGAGACAACAGCTCACCCAAAGTCCCTCGCTACGAAGAGAAACCATGCAACAGTGATGTAAAACGGTTCCACATAGTCTCCACTTTGTCTACGCGGGATTACCGGACCTTGTCCAAGTGCAAGAATCGTCTCCTCGATTTTATAAATGCATACCATATATGACGTTTTACGGTAAGGAGATACTTCTTTAAGGCTCTTGTGAGTGACCAAAGCAACCCCCAAGACGCAATAGAAGGTCTTACGATCTGGCGAAGGTCGTTTCATAATACGCGAGCGGATTTTAAAGGTGTGGCAATCTTTTAAAGAAGAATAAACCCCGCCATGGGGAGGAGGAAGATGATCTGAGCTCCCTCCCCAAGCTCTGTCTAGGGGATCTGAGCAATAAAGTGGAGAATAGTGTATGGAGGGGGTGTTGTATGTGAACAAAGTTTCGTATCTCAAAATGCGAGGGAGTCATCGATGGCCCAAAGCCAGGCTTGTCTTTGCTTGCTTTGGCAGGAGATCAGGAGCAGAAGCAGCCTCAGCAGCCATAGAAATATAGAATGATTGAAAGAAGGTGACGAAAAATATCGAAGGAAATTGATACCAATCATCATAGATGGATATGACAAAGTGCTCACGAACTACAACAACGAGGAGGTGCCCATAGTACCGTACGAAGAGAGGGGGCATTGGGCTTGACAGACAGGAAAGGGATCTGTCATCACATCGTCGTCGATGCCTGGACAGAGAGTGAATGAGAACCGGGTGAGTGAGGTCAGAAATTGATGCCAGCCAGATGCAAACGCTAAACCCTGGCAGTGAATGGCACGCTCTTCGTTCGACATTGCGGGTGCCAAGGAGTTCACGCATGGTTTGGATCGATTGTATCTTACTGGTCGAAGATATTTTACCTTTCAAAATTCTTTAAACCTCTAATTCTGGCACAGAGAAATCTGTCCTCCCCCGACGAGGACCAGAACGTTGGTGCGTACTGTCGCGTAAGCTGTTCAGCAAGGTTTTGGTGACAAAGAACTCGTTAGTTTTCGGACCTCAGTTCATGAGGTCGTCGAGGCATTGAGTCGTGTCACAACTTCGCGAAGTGGGACCGCTGTGGGCTTTCATACTTAGGGTTACAGAAATTACCTTGTGAGCAAAAACCTGGGCTCTAACACTACAAGACTTTCGAACTCTACACATTGGAACTTCTGTGACTCTCAGACTGTAGTGACCAGAAATTGCTGAGGTCGGAGAGATTCTGGAGCGTTTTTGGAAAATAATCCGCGCCACTGGGAGTCATGGAGTAGGAGACGATTTTTTTTACTCAGTATTACACTGCTCGTGAACACAAATTTTGTGAATGTGGCGGGACAGCAGCGGAGTCTAATTTCTACAGTAGCGGAGCTCTTGTTCGTAACATGTTTTTCAACTCCGGAGAACACGAAGCGATCAAGTCGAACATTCGTCGTCTTGGAGCTAGCTTCAGTTACTGTGATTGAATTTTCAACAGCTTGCTCCTACATGCGTCGAGGATATGTTTAGGGTTTACCTTCACGAAGTTATTCCGGTGCAGAGAGCAGGATAGTGCTGTTTGGAAGAGTTCTGAACTCCACATTAAAACTCCTCGATTGGTGGATGGTCTAGTTTACACATGCGCTACTTGGCAAGAGTTGCTGTTCTGTACTACCGACTATTTATCACTTACTTCTGCAGATTCTAGGAGTATGGCGAGCTTGGCTGCATAAGTCGGTTACTCTAGCCTGGTTGTTTTTTCAAAATATAGTTGTTCAATCAGCATATGAAATGGGGCATTTACACTTGCCCATCTTCTGCGACACGGAGCGAATTGACCATGCATGGAGGTGCACTGATGAGTAGTCATGTTGTGTCCAGTATAGAAAGGCCAGCCTGGGCAGCTCCACATTTTTGCCATTGTACGGAGTGAATGCCGAATTGTTTCAGGAATCAACATGGGTTGTTTGTGGTCAAAGACCACATGATTTCGTGCACTCCCGGCACCTAATAATAAGTCTGTGGTGCCCAACTGATTGATTTTTATCCGTGGTTCGAACCACATTTAGGGAGAAGAGAGTAAGACATCTCAGTACCTTACTTGGCGTTTACAGCTCGGGTGTCAGAGCTGTGGTGTTTGGGATGAGCCCTGAGAAGGAGGGGTTCCAAAGGGTGATGAGCGGACATGAGTAGGTTGTCTTTCAGGCCCCGCCCATTAGACATTCACAAGAAGCTACCTATCGTCAAGTCAGTGAAGGACCTTGACAGTGATGAAGGCCCAGGAGTGTCTCGGACTGTGCATCATAATCACATCGCCTTGGATGCTGAAAATGAGCTGGTAATCTCTCTCCCACTATTTCCAGCTTTTAATGTGCATACTACTCGACACGTAGTTCATCGTAGTTTTCTTTACAAGCTTGTTCAACAATGCCCCATGAGATTATGAGAATTATTCTCATGTGTCGATCTGGTCCTTCGGTGTCATGCACTCCAGTCAATTTAAGTTTATGATGCATTATTACAGACTCTCGTTCAAGTAATTCTCAGATTTGTGACTCTAATCTGATAGCTTCAAACTGCAAGCTTTTGATAATCTCCATCACGAGGCTATAAAATTTTAGTTTGAAGAAAACTTGTTAGAAGCACTTGTTAAATACTTGTTCTTTAGTGTTCTTACATGGACTAGTCTATGTCCTCTCTTATCTGAGTATGGTGATTACTTTGCGTTTCGTTTTACGAATTAATTCTCAAGGTGAGTGATACTCCCTCTGTTCTGTTGGGTTTTGTTTTCGGCCCGGCAATTTGTTCTCCTTCGTATGAAATAGGTCCGGGGCACAGCCATCGACTGCTCCTTGGCTTGTTGGGCTTCGAGTTATCCTCATCCTCCGCTCCGTCCACTGCAGAACTCTATGCATCTCGGTATACACTGATGAAGCAGTCGAATCTATGTGATGGGAATGTGAAGCTTTTGTTCAATGGAGTTCGTTCTTGTGTCGGACTGGCCCCTCCATACTGCTTACTTATTTTTCCTAGCAATCTCATATTGACAGCTGGTCTGCTTGCACTGGGTTCCTTTCCCCACTATGCTTCCACTCCTTGTTTTTATTGGTTGGTTCGCATTCATTTGTTTATAGTTGATTGCCATCTCACCTCAGTCGCCGTGATACTTCTCGGCTGTTCGGTCATTGTCTTCATGCTTCTTGCCATCTTATATATCTCCTTTGTTGGCTCCTTTGAGACGTGCCACCTAGACCTGAGATGCTTTGGTTTCTTCTATGGTAAGCTCTTGAGGCGGATTATGCACTATGTAGATATTTTATACTCTCTTTTCTGTATATGCTGTGTTTTTTGCTTTTGTTTGTTGTGTCCATCGGAGTGACACTTTCTCTGCATTTCTTGGTCATGGCTTTTGGTATGGCTTGTCATTCTTCTTCACAGATAGATAGTGCCACCCCTCAAAATCGCGTTCCAGGAATTGGATGTTCTCGCCGCACCAATCAGATCGCGCTCTATAACTTGGACTTCATCACAGAGTTCTGGGCAGACGTAGTCCCAGCACAACTCTAGAAATGTCTCACACAATTCTTGCAATTTCTGCAATTCTTCAAGGTCCACTTCGTCTTCGGTATCATTTCCTGGAAGTGGAAACAGTGCCATGGACACTTTCCGGGAGTGCCTTAATAAGTCCCGTAATGAAGCACACAGCCACTGTTGATCCAAACTCCGGAGTCGCTGCCAAAAGAAGGCGAGAAGTATCGACGATATGCGAGCCTCGAAGCCCATCGAACGGTTTTAAAGTCTCCGGATTGTGTGGAGGATAAATCACGAAGCGTTATGGCGCCAAGAGGTTATACAATATTCGGAACGCACGGCGTATAGTTGTCAGTTGTCGGCTCTCTTACTTGCCGTCATCTCTTTGCTTTGTTACTCGGGTGTTCTTGTGTGCAGGTTTCGCAGAGTCTCCTTGCGTGTTAAGTTTGCGGTTGATCACGTGTTATTTCATTTGTCATTTATTGCCGATTTATTTAGTGAAATTTTGCACCATTGTTCAGTTGTTGGTAACAGTCTTGCTGTGTGTCCTGCTTCAAAGTGCTAGTTTTAGCTAATTCCAATCCAAGGAAGATCACTACTATTCTCACTCGTCTTGCAAATCAAAAAGGATAAAAGGTCCTCATCAACTGGATCGTGATCTAGCGCGAAAGCCCCTCAATTGAATCATGAGATTTAATCTTGTGATTGGATCTTCCAGAAGGGTTCACAAGATATTGGGGATAGCAAGGGCAAGATGATCCAAGCCCATTTTCTGATCCGATGACAGCTTCTGGACTTCTACTTAACATCAATAGAGTCGAATCTAGCTCAACCCTTTGCGGCATCATTGAAAAGTTCTTTTGAGCGTTTCCATGCTAAAATCTGTTAATTTAATGCAGAGACTATGTGGATTGCTTCCCCTTTGAATGGCTTCGGCTGCTCTGCTTGAATGTATGTTCACTATCTACGCTATTAAGCTATCAGCACTAATAAAGTTTGTCTTCAAATTTCATTTAACCCTTTTTCTATTTCATACTGCTTATGGTCAATATAGACCGATGCGGGATCTGCAGCTCATAATACAGCTGAATTATACTCTGGTGGATTTAAGTCTCTGGATTCCTATTCAGCCTCATGAGGTTCTATGCTAGCACTTCCCTGCCCTCGGTACCCTGTGGGTTCTTTTCATTTCACTGCCTCAGTTCTCCCGTTCTCTCTGTAGCCTCCCGCTTAAGTACGCACTCCTCTAAGTACGCCTTTTTTTCCCAAAATAATAGGGTCCAGATTTATTTAGTTCAACATGTCATAGATAGTCATTTGGCTTTAGTTTTTGAAGAGTCTTGCGTTTGGAAACCTAATTTTTGGATATTTTTCTTCCCGGTAGTGGTTTATATGCAGTCATCTGGAATTAGAAGGCTGTATCTCGGCAGTAGGCAAAAGATCAAGCCAGTATCGTCCATATTGGAGACGTTTTCAGGATTATATTGGGCAATAAACGTGTAGAGGTCTTATAAAACTTCCAACAATCCAAGATCGGATTAGTTGACTTCAGCTCCTCTCCGTGAAGCAGCATCTTATGCAACACTGGGCGCACTGTGAATTGACTTAACCATACCAGGATGCCTTAAAGTTCGTTTTCGGAATCGATAAACTCAATGCAATATTTTTCGAAAGATTGCGGAATAGGGAGATTGGCACACGCATGCTGTAAAGCATGTCTTCAAGCTCGGTGAAACGATCAACAACAGGATTGAAAAGTCTTCTCTTCAATAAATAGAGGATTGAAAATTCTTCTCTTTAGCTTCATCAGATATTAAGGCAGATCGTTTTATGCTCCGCTTGTACCACAAATTCCTACACATGTTTTATAGCTGCTTCACAAACATCGTACTTGCGCGCTAGAGCCCTTTTACTAGGATCATTTTTGGTGTGTATATTCCCCTTGTATAGAGCGAGATATTGTTGTGAATGACGCATTTTTGATGAGGTAGTTTTGACGTGGGGAGAATGATTTATTTGATTTATTTGGTCTTGGTATTTCTTCAAGCTCGGTGAAACGATCAATAGAGGATTGAAAAGTCTTCTCTTTAGATTTATCATATCGTTCATGCTCCCGCTTGTCCCACACGGTCCTACACATTTTTGACAGCTGCTTCACTAACATCGTACTTGCTCGCTAGAGCCCTTTTACTAGGAGACTTTTTTGTGTATATTCCCCTTGTATAGAGCGAGATATTGTTGTGCATGACACGTTTTTGATGAGGTAGTTTTGATGTGGGGAGAATTATTCATTTGATTTATTTGGTCTTGGTAGTTCTTCAAGCTCGGTAAAACGATCAATAGAAGATTGAAAAGTCTTCTCTTTAGCTTCATCATATATTAAGGCAGATCGGTTTATGCTCCGCTTGTACCACACATTCCTACACATTTTTGACAGCTGCTTCACTAACATCGTACTTGTGCGCTAGAGCCTTTTTACTAGGAGTACTTTTTGTGTATATTCCCCTTGTATAGAGATATATTGTTGTGCATGACGCATTTTTGATGAGGTAGTTTTGACGTGGGGAGAATGATTCATTTGATTTATTTGATCTTGGTATTTTCTTCAAGCTCAGTAAAACGATGAATAGAGGATTGAAAAGTCTTCTCTTTAGCCTCATCATATATTAAGGCAGATCGATTTATGCTCCGCTTGTACCACACATTCCTACACATTTTTGATAGCTGCTTCACTAACATCGTACTTGCGCGCTAGAGCCTTTTTACTAGGAGTACTTTTTGTGTATTTTCCCCTTATATAGAGCGAGAAATTGTTGTGCATGACGCGTTTTTGGTGAGGTAGTTTTGACGTGGGGAGAATGATTCGTTCCAGCTGTTCTAGAACATTCTATAATTGCGTTGCTGCCTGTAAGATTGCCTTCATTTGCTATTCTGTATTTTTCACTCCGATTAAGGATCGCGTTATTATTGAGTTTGAATACGGATACATGAACGAAGTGAAACAATCAATTACACTATCTGTATCAAAGTATTTTACTCAAGCCTATAATGAGTGAACTGTCGAGATAGACATTTCATAAACGTTTGCCACATTACACTTTTTCACGGCTATGTATTGTGATCATGATAGTAATTCTACCTCCAAAATTACACTTGGAACTGTCATTATTGGATAGAATCATGTCACTCTTGCAATTAGTTACATGGTTGGGCAGATTTACTAGTTACAATCTAATGGTTCCTGAATTTCATGTCACTAATGGGAGTATGTCACTGTTAGAGGTTAAACTATTCGGAGGTTAAACTTTGTACTTGACCAGTGCCATTTGGCCCTTACATGTATTTGCCTCAATAATTCCAGCAATTTGCACTTTGCAGAGGAAGAGTACAAATTATGGTAGTAATAGATTATGGGAGATGATTGTTCCGTACAGATGGTACGATACAGGGACAGGGACAACTGACTTTTCATTTTGTTGAAGATCATTAGTTTAGTTACTGATACTTGGACACGCCGCATCCAGGAGTGCACTGTGGAAACGATGTTCCAGATATGCACACGTTAAAATTGGATATAAGAGATCTCTGTAAACAGAGGATTGAAAAGTTTTCTCTTTCGCTTCATGAGATATTAAGGAAGATGGTTTTATGCTCCCGCTTGTCCCACATATTTCGATAGCTGCTTCACTAATATCGCACTCGCGCGCTAGAGCCCTTTTACTAGGAGCATCCGTGTTGCTCAGCTTCGCTATTATATCACATCGCTGGGACTTATTTTGACGTTTCCCGTTAGAGCCCTTCTACTAGGAGCATTCGTGTTTAGGAGCATCCGTGTTTCTCAGCTTCGTTACTATATCGCATCGTTGGGACTCATTTAGACGTGTCCCGTTGGATTTCTTCGACATTGCATCCAAATCAAACGTTTAGTAAGTGATTCTTCTTAAGTATCCACTAGGTGGGTACGTACGCACAATCCTCCTATGTTCAAGTTCCGTATTTAGGCGGGAGACTACTGTACTCCCACAGCTCTTCATGTTAGTCACAGCCCCCAAGGCCCGTATCTATCTATGTATAAAGTATAGATATACTCAACACCATTTTGTTATAATCCGCTTTTTTTCCACAGGTGTTGTCTACTCCCACACGACGAGGAGGTGCGGAAATCCCAACCCCGCAGTTTGTGGTGGTGGAATCATATGAGAGAGACTATACACGCTCTTTTAATCAGCCTCCATCATATCTTCGCGGTCGGGGAGGTAGAACCTTCATGAATAATGTCTTCAAGTTCTCAATCATAAAAATAAGTCACTGTTTGTCTGAGTTCATGAACTAGCACCTACCCGTTTGGAACTGGTCATTTTCTGGCAAGACTACACTGAGTAGAATGTGGAACTTATTTGTGCATCTGTGCTTACAGCAAGGAGTGAAGCAACAGAGTTTGTGGAATATGACCTGGATGACGAAGATGAAGATTGGCTTTTGCAGCTTAATGCGGAGCGCAGGATTTTGTCTCCAGAAAGGTTTGTTATCTTTAAGTCATCTTGAGTTCCTTGTAGGCAGGGAAAGTTGCGTTCTAACGACCGGGGCTTAAGCACCAAGGTAGATGCATATAATCTTGATTATCAGCATGTTGAAGACCGAAAAGTGACGAACGTCCACAGGTTCCAGTCTGTTCTACTGTTTGCTTCAACCGTCGTTTGCAACTTGGCTTATTGGGCTTTGAGTTACCCTCAAAGAAGTGTTTGAAGTTGGTGTTAGAATCACGTCCATGATTATAAATGCGGTGGTTTGTCCAGGTTTGAGTGGATGCTCTATAGGTTGGAGTGTATGGATCACAAAGCACGAGAACGAACAGGAGGAGTGCCTGCCACTCAGGGAGTCGTGGTGCCCGTACTACTCCAACGTGAGGTTGCCATTGACGTAGGTTCAATCCTTCAATAGAAGAGTTTGTTGAGTGCAATATAACGAAGAAATTGTATTCAATTCTCAGCTTTATATTCCTAGACCACCTATCATATTATCTACAGCACTATACAGTGCAACAACCCATTTACTGACATTCTTATAGCTTGACATATTATCTATATGTTAATAACACTAAAAAATACTGCATACAGTCTTTTCTCATGCATGGAATCAGTTACCACATGGTTTAGGTCTTGTGTCTACCCTATGATTTCTATGGGGCATAATCAGGCATGGTTATTTTAGGCGATCGTATACCGAGATGCTTTGGCGCCTAAATTAACCGTAGCATCTAGTTTGTAATGGGCTCAAAATTGGAGCGTGGTAGATTTCAGCCCCTCAACTGTGAATCAGCTTGTTACCACGTCAGTTTCATATTTCACCGAGTTGTAATCCGAAGTTTATAAATTTTATTTTCTCTCGACCACGAGCCTGACTGCAAGCCCCGTGACGGTGACCCTCTCTCCCTCTACCTCCCAACCCCTCACACTCTCTCTAGTGCACTCAACGCGACTTTTAGCACCAAAATTAACTAAATTAACTTTCTTGAGGCGACTAAATTAAGCTAATTTAGGTAATTAAGGCGACCGACCTATACAACCATGCCTGGGTCACATCTAACTACATAATGCAGCTCTTCACCAAGTTGGCATGTGAACCACACTCTATTGATGGTCAAAGATAAACTTCCACCGATACATGTCCTAACTTTCATCAAAAAAGCAAGTTCATTTGAAACCATTTTAATGGTGCTTGCTCTTTTCTCAAAGTTTGCAGCCATGTTAGATGAGACTTTTTACCGGGGTTTTCATCAGTATCAATCTTGAACTATTCCTGATCAAGTTGATATCTTGTAATTGTTTCAACTATTCTTCACGATCATCATATCCTTAATCTCTAATATAATATTACCACCACAATGTTAAATGCATTATTGGACTAGAGCCAATATTTTATTGACAATGAGAATCTGATTTCTTCATCGGACTTTCTCTGCATAGTGTGTATCGCAAAACTTGTCACAACAAGGATAATATCTAGTGTACAAAAATCACCTCTGTCACAACAAACGCACTGTACTGGCACAACTTTGAATTTCTGTTAAAGTCCAGCCACTGGTGTGTAGTTTTTGTTATAGCCAACAAATCTTAGCCATTTTCAAAACTCATTTCTTTAAGAAATGTATCAATACTTCTTCACCTTCATAAGGCACTTTCTCACTCATGACTTAGTGCACTTGGACGTTTTTCTGGAAGTGCAAATGTAGTATAGCGATTGTAGTTTTGGGTGACAGTCATCAGCGCAGTTGATGTGGAGTTTTCCTACACGATCCAGAACTTTTTTTCTGATAATGAACTTGGGCTTGCAGACGCTGCGACCTCAGATCAGTCGGCAAGCTGTCCTTACAGCAGTGTACGATTTCTGGAAGTCTAAGGTAAGACATTATTGGATTCGGAGTGTTTGTTTCGAGAAGGATCTAGAGTCATAATTTATCTGATATCGCGAAATTGAGAAGACAGTACAACTTGGCAGTGCACGGTAGAGTTACATGGACAATTTCGCTTTCTTGTTTGGTAATGATCATGCTGTATATAATGAAAAGTGAAAGCTGGTGGTTGGAGTACAGTAATATATGCTCTCTGATATGGGACTTGTTGGTCTTTTCAGCGAGATCGTTGGCAGAAGCCTATATTACGTCGCCTACAGGTGAGGTCTTTTGTTTATTCGAATCAGTAGCTTTTGTTTCGAATAGGACAGATCTCGAACTCATCTTCTCGTAGATCTTTTATTTGTTGTAGCCAGAGCCTTATTATAGCGTGACTTTTGGAATTGGTTGTGTTTTTCTGACTGGAACATTCAACATGAATAACCTTCGACTTTTTTACGAATAAGATTTAACAATTTTATATGCAAGTATCTTGTATTTCAGTTTCAGTATTGGAATGATACCCATGTCATTCCGACCAAGTACTTAGTATTGAGTGCCATGTACTCGTAGCTTGTTATAATGAAACCTTAGATGATTTTCCTCTTTAGCATGTTTGTAGGCACTTATAGTCACTTTAGCACAGACGTTGCAATCGACTCTAAGAGTAGACTTCAACTGGAAGAAATCTCACGAACAAGGATGAGTCAATAAGTGTTTATTCGAGGTGTGGATTTAGACGAAGGCTGCTTCTGTTGTAGAATCTATGAGTCGACAAATTATATTTTTGTATAGGATTTTATCTAGCGATCAAGTTTTGGAACCTCTTTTGCCCCAAAAGTAAGGTAAAACACCTGACTAATTGTGGCCTATTGTTGTTTCCGAAAAATTTTGGGTGATGCAGCCGCCCCCACCGGTGAATGATACCAACCCTTTCAATGTTTTCAGGCCAAGGGAAAAGGTTCACAGGCCCCACACTCGACGAGTAAGCTCACTATCTTCTGGATCCTTTGTCCACCTTAGTACAATTTCCAGGAACAACTTATATTTATCACTCCGATCACGTGCCCTTTACTTGGACTTCCATGTCTTGCCTCATATATTGTGGTTGTTCGTCTTTTCTTATGATGCAGATGCAAAGGCGCGAGAATGATGTCTCGTCCTTCGAGAAATTGCGGCAGGTGAAATTGATTGTCACTAGATGATATGCTACCATCTGTACCTTTATTAAGGCTTATACGATCGCTTGAAGTGTGCAGCTGGAAGAGAAAGGTGAACTTTTGCTGCATAGCTGCCCCTGTAAATCAGAAGCTCTGAAAAATTACGTGGTTCACTGTTTTCTGCAGGTCCGGCTGAACTTGGAACAATCCAGAAACTTAATCCTGGCCTTACAGAAGGTGATTACTTGGTTTTAATCGAAATGTATCATCCCTTCTACATGTTTACATTCACAAAGGCTTACTACCTCTTCCATAAGTTGCTCACTTGGCTGGTAGACCAGTTGCGCACTGGGAATATGTAAAGTATTCCAAGTTTTGCTGTCAATGTGGAGAACTAAACTTCATAGTAGAGATGGTTTCTGACTCACAGCTGGACTTCTGATTCAGTAGTTGTTGCGCACCACATAACGCATTGGGTATCCAGTCATGCGATTGGTTTCTGACGTAACGCAAACAAAGAATCGTATATGCGTGACACGTACTAGGCTTTCATTCCATGTACCTCAACGTCTGAGAGTACGTGTTATAGTTTGTTAAGAAACAAAGTTAGCGTTGGCCAGAGTTTCAGTATACGTCTCCTCTTTTGTACTTTGACATTCTGATTCATCTTTTCACCATGGTGCAGAGGGAAGAGAAGAAGAGAGAACTGATGGAGTGTGAAGCAAACCTTCAACGCGTCCAACTAAGGCTTAAGGTTAGCGCTTTAAGCCTGCTTCTCGAGGCGATTACTCTGTTGTACTGTTATTGCAGGAAAGTAGTCACCGTTGTTTGGATGGCACTTTATCTTTATTCCAAATATGCTACAGAGCGCCACTATCTGAAGATGACAAAGTCTATTCTTTTCTGGTTCGCATTGTAGCATGATGCGCGACTTGACGACGATGGGTTTTTGGCTACGAATACATCGAACTCACAACCTTCCCGAAAGTTCGTGCCATCAAAACGAGGAGAGGACGGTCATGGTTTAGTTCAAAGGTACGGTAGTGGAGTTGGGGCACAAGATCAAATAGATGGACAGGGTGTTGGTGTGCGAAATCCCTCCGAGGTTCCTACAGCTTCAGGTGATTGCATAGTAGGAGATCAAATGGACCGTTTGAAACACAAACGAAAGAGAAGGCGGTTGCCTGTTCCAAGAGGTCGACCCATGCGGAGGGTAAGCCGTTATCATTCGCAGATGTTCACCCTGCTTCAGTGCCAGATGCTTATTTGCTTATGCAGGTTGAGATCATGCTAATTTTTGGATCATCTGTCGTTTGCAGATCAAAGTCATGGATTCATTGGAGCCTGTGTTACTGTTTACTAAGCCTTTAGATTCAGAGAAGCTCGCTGCTGCCGGCATTAACCCTCCCAAAGAACCTTCTCTTGAAAATGGTTTGACTGCATCACCTTATCAGTTTCATGGTAGAATTGGTCGGGGGGGCCGCATTATCTTTGATCGTTGGAACCCCTTAACTCGCACACCAATTGGTAGTTCTAGTGTAGTTCCTTCACCCTCAACTTTTAGGACGTCACCAACTGCAGAGAGGTTTCATGCTCCGCCACCCCCAAGGCTGGATGTGCATGCAACCACTCCCCTTCACTCAAACAATACTCCTGTTGCCGGAGTGGTTGAACATACGTCAAGTACAAATGCCCCACCTCCTTGAATTTCGGTGCTGGCTTTTAGACACGATTTACTCAGAGCATGAGGAGAGGCAGGGCGATGGTGGGAATCAGAGCCATTACTCCTCTGCAGTGTAGGGCCTTCATTGATGCTCTACGTTTGTACTACTAACTTGTTCTTTTTGTGCATATCCTGTTTATGGAAATGTGTCGCCCCATGGCTGCTCTTCAGTTTTTCCAACCAATCGAGCCGCTGCAGTCTTCAAAGATGGTTTGACACAACATACTCAATTTATCCCTGGTTCTGGTGACTGAGAGTTTTAGTACTTATCAATCTTGTATGACTAATCACTTCAAATTTTTTGATAGTTATAACGGATGCTTTCTTTATAGAGTTGTTGTCTGTGTGCCACTAACTTCCATGTGGGTTTTTCTTGAGTTGGCCTCGTTGATGAGTCGAATCCCTGAGTTTATACAAATCAAGATATGTATCGTAGAGCTTTGCCCCTGATTTCGGTCGAAGTCCATGTCACATGTTCGACGCAATGTTATCATAGTTTCATTTCGCAAGAAATCAAAATGAGAGTCGGGGAGCTGGCGTTTCAATGTTTACTTCCTATGGTTATACAAAATAAACGAAACAATTTTGGTCTTAAGCTGATTGGTTCTACTCTGAGTAGTTTGTTTTACAATTGCTTTCAGTAGAAAGGGTATTTAATACTTCTTCTTCCAGGCTTTTATCATGAAGTAGAATTTATTTTGTTACGAAGACGGTGAAATATTGGAAAGTTCAATTTTCACACGATCCTGTCATGCCTGTTATTTATAGATTTCTTTTCAGTTTGTCATCAGTCAGATGTTATCCGTGACATTCTCAGCTGAATACCTTGTCCATCTTTATTCACATTTTTACCGAGGGGTACCGGTCTCATTCCGCCTCTAGCATCGCATTTGTCCTAAACCTCTTCCTTCAAGTCATTCTGGTTACTCGACTTTTGACAAATATTTACCTCCTCCCCTTTTTGTGATAGTTTTTGTTCATACTGTCCAGTGCTAAACAACCTACCTTGAATTGTCCTTTGAGATCAAAACTATTGTTTTGAACAACTTTCGAAGTAGTGTATGAGGTTCTAAGTGGTTCTTTAGCTCCATCCACCACCGAATTTTAACTTCAGAAAAAGGAAACGGCCCAACACAGATTGGAGATGAATGAATTTATTCATACCAGTTCTGGGTAATTAAGACTGAGTAAGTAAGTTGAGTTGATGGGACGAGAACCCTGAAACAAAATCCATACATTAACATTTGTTCCAGTAGTTCCAGTCTATTTGCAGCAAGTGATTGGAAGGATCTTTAAGTACTATGATTCCATTCATGTCTGCACGCCAAATTGGACGTCTATGTAACACCCTAATGACAATATAAGAAGTAATCGCTGTAGTAAGGTCATGTACTATAGATTTGACTATGAATTATTCCCGTTTTTCTGGTCGTTTCTTCTCCAGGGGTTCTCTAGATAGAAAATTACAACCCGCATCATATGTTTTCCATACAAAATTGATGATTCGCAACCTTCATACACCATTTAGACTACTTAACAGCTCAGTAACACTGTTTTCTTAAAGCCTTTCTTTTGGACTCATATCTTCATTTGTTTGACTCGATTTCATAAGCATTGCAGCTCCTTGAATGGCGTGGCTTCTCTTGGTCAGGTTATTCAATGGGAGACTTGTTTCAACTACTCATAACAGCTTGTGTTTCTTCGTGTGTTTGAAGATGATGAGTTAAGTGGTGAGAAAGAGGTATAGGATTTAAACTTGAGAGTACAGTGAAACCGAGTTACCATGAAGGAAGAATTGTCACAGAAGCTCCTAGTAAAGCACTGGGTAACCGATCAAAGTGCATGAATCTCAGTGTATGTAATAACTAAACACTGTCAATTCATAATAAATACCAGGAAAGCACGGATTGTGAAATTTACAAGGTCATTCGCGATCTAATGTACGACTTGTATTGATTATACTTACATGGACAATAACTATGTCAATTTTGAAAATGAAGTCTAAAACGTTAATTGTTAAATTTCATTTCTTTCGTGATCGTCAATACCAAGTAATGGGTTGAAGGTATTATTACAATGTTTTTCCCTAAGGATCTATAATGTCGTTGGAATACGTAAAGTAAAGTGAATTGGAAGTTTTAATTAAATCAACATGGGGGATACGATTCTCGAATGTATTGCAAACATTGGATGTAAATTCTTAGAGCGAGACCTGAATTGATATTTGAAGATGAACTGATGCACTCATCGTTTTGGAACTATAAACACACCCTCCACAATAACCTTATTTACCATTGATAACAACCAAAATCAATTTTCATTCTTTTACAATGCAAGTTATGCAAATGTGCACCATGATATGAATTTCATTCTGATTTTATTTTCAAAGTTTAAGACTAAGTAACGATCGGAAATTTGGTATCTGATGACATATCTTCTACGAACAGGTGATATGTAAAATGAGTTTATCACCTATCTATTTGAGAGAATTCAAAACGCATTATTAGTCGTGCACATACAGAGTGACATTGCAATCCTGCTCCACATTTTTATTAAATCTCGTCTCTATTCCTCCTGCTCTAAATTATTTTTTAAAAACTAGTCCATTTTGTAGGAATACTTGAGCTCGTTAACTGAAGTTCTATTTCCATATGTCCCTTATTTATATCTTGAGATTTGTAAATTGAATGGAAATTTTTTGATAAATTGTTAAGTGATACTGAAATATTATTTTTTGTATGATTTCAGTTAGTCTAAACCTAAGATAATTACACTTTAAAGTGAAGATTTTTATTTCAAATCCGATATAGATATAAGTTGTGTGACATGATTATCATACAATTTAAATTTGAGTAAATTACTTTATGTGAACCCTTGGAAACTTAATAGGTCTTGAAGGGACCCCATTCATCGGCCACCGTAACCTATGTTCTTATAACCTACTGATTTGCTCTATAGAGTGGGTAGTGTCCGCCACTGTCGGCCAGAGTACCATGAGTCTAAATTATTCCGGATATGGTCTTGCCCGTGACTTCATGTTATACTCGATAGAACATTAGGGCTCAAGGCCGTCGATGGGTCCCATTGGGTACAATGAAACCTGTTGGGTCCTAAGTGTTTTAGTTTCCGGGGATCCCATCATGTCATTTTCTTTTTAAAACTCTATAGATTGAATTAAACACGAATTAAAATTTAAATAAACTTGAGTAAATTCATCCAAATAATGATGAAGTATTTCATTTTTTTTAAAAAGTTGGATTCTATTTCAAGAGCGTTTTCATGTTATGTTAGTGTTTTATTATTGAAATTTTGAAGAATGATCTTGATCTTAAAATGACGTCAACTTCATAATTTGAATCAACTCAAAGCGGTTTTGAAATATGAAATAACTTTAGGTGTGTTACCAAATGAATTCTGCTTTATATTTTATGGATAATTATTTTTTATTTATATATGCGTATTTTTAAAATATTTTTGAGACAAATTAATTGGAATATTTAAAATGAATTTTCAGATCATATTTAATGCAAATTAATTTTACTGTTGAAAATTCATAGTTTAATCAATTGAAGCTCTTATTTTTTTGGTTTATAATTTGAAATATAATAATTGAAATCAATTTTGAACTAGATTTTAAAATATTACAAACTTATTTCTTTAAGTAAACATGGTAAATTTTATTTCGAGTCTATCTTAATGTTTCAAAATGTGATCAAAGTGATAATCACTTCAAATAACATAGTTTAACTTATTCATGACTATCTACAAATGCAAGTTACTCTTACATCTAGCAATACTTCTAATAAAATTTTAAATTTTGCATCCATAAATTTTGCATCCTTATTTTCATTTGATATGAACAACACATACATATCACATTTTCTTTCCTCACAATATATAGATTTAAGGTGCAATCATTCATATATATTTTAAAAATTCAAAATTTTAAATGTAAATGATGAAAATTAGATAAAAGCTCAATATATTTAAATATGAAAATTAGATACATGGTCTTCTAGCTCTTTTAAAAATCAACAATTCAAATATCAATGTATCCATTTTTCACATTTGAAGATTATTTTTGATAGAAATTTTCCATCGGAGATAATTGAAATTATGAATGTGGTATTGAATAAAAGAGAATTTAAATTATATTTCTGACCGAGATTTTGTTAGATATTTCATGTGGTACTTTATTTTTTATTGTTCTTATACTAAATCTAATATATGACTAGATTTCATATACCATATTACTACCAAATTAGTAACAAGATCATATGACAGTGATTGTTGATATTATCAATGCTATATTTGTCAGATTTTCTAACAGTTGGTGAATTATTTTAACCATAAATTACTTCCATTAACAGTACTTTTAATGTTGCTTGCATATCTAGTAACTTTAAGATTTTCTATTGGATCTATGTCACATAACAATTAAAAATAAATTTTGGGATTGAAAAAAACACTTTGTTCTTTTGAACAAATACTTCACTTCTTTACTACTTCATGAAGTATTTAATATTTACTTATTGAAGATTTTGAGAAATCTTCAAAACTTCATTGACAATCTTTTTGAGCTAGTTCTGAAAATACTAGAGTGTAACATCAAGATTCATTTCGCTTGTTAGATGAAAAAAATCATGTTTTTTCTAATTTTATTTTCTTGCAATGCATATTAGAAAAATATTGTGATTCATCTGTTTCAATAATTAATTCTACTTATTGCAATTTATTGCATATATCTTTGATTAATATCACAATCTTCTAAGTCAAAAACATACAAATTCACTGATCTTGTCATGATATGTGAATTATTAATAATCTTTGATAGAATAATGTATATAATGTCAAAAAAATATTAATGTTAATTTTTGGGTTGTTATGCTTACTCTTAAAAATATATCTTATTCTAGATATGTTATTGGACTGTGTACTAATCGCAAGTTTAATACATAACAAGAGTATATTTTCAAGTTTTTTTCAAAATCTTAGAATATATATATATATATATATATATTTATATATATATATTTATTTATTTATTTATTTAAGCATTGCAATCGGAAGAAGATGCATACAATATTAAGAGCATGGTTTTATTTAACATTCAAATGTTTATTACTACATCATGACGTTGAAATATTGATAAATATATGAAATTAATACTTAATTGTTTTATGGTATTGTTTTCATAAGTCAAGTCTTCTTATAAATGGACATTTAATATATTGCTTAATTGACTTATCAGAATTTTTTTACTCAACAAGGATTATTGAACAAAGTGCTTAATGCATTCTTTGTACAAAGAATAAAGTATGCATTCTATTCAATGGAAAAGTTTGATGCGCTAAGTATTATTCAAGTTTGTTTCTCTACTTGCATGCCTTGCTTATCTTTAAGTTAATTGGATCGGCAAAATACTGGCATGATCTTGAAGATGCCATTCTTTTGTGATCAATTTGTCTATATATGTCTTATTTTACGATAATAATCAAATTTCCATAATACTTTTGTTGTCGCAACATTCAAAAATAACTACTGAAATACTTTTCAATGAACAAACAAACTAAACATGGAGACTTAATAGAGAGACTGAAATCTATTTTTAGTATTTGACTTGGATCAATTGTCTTGGATTTACTTGGAATTCTTCAGTTTCTTGCAACAAGTAACGTCAGGCTTATCGCTTATATCTTTTCATTAAAAAAATAACCTTTTTAATTATTTAAAATAAACATTACTTTAGTTTACATATCAACAAAATTTAAGTATAAGATTTTTTAATTAAATTACAGGATATATCTTTGTTCACACAAAATTTGCAATCTGATAATATATATAAGATATAGTTGCCAGAGAAGATGATTTGACATGTGGCACGACAAAATATTCAACGGTTGGCAATACATTTTCACAAAAAGCGGCGTAAAAATCCGTATTTACGGTGAGATTCATTCGCATTGAAAATTATTAACTTTAAGTTTTTAAATTAAG